TATCCTTTCTTCTGCTTGGTCAATTCAGCTATTGAAACTTGTGTATGCTTCGCAAAGTTCTCGTCTTGTGTTTTCCAGCTCCATCAATTCATTTATATTCTTCTCTAAGCTGTTTATTCTCATTAGCATTTTGTCAAACCTTTTTTCAAGGTTCTTAGTTCTTTGCATTGGGTTAGAACATGTTCTTTTCTCTCTTCTGAAGCCTGTTTCTGTCAACTCATCGGACCCATTCTCTATCCAGCCTGTTCCCTTGCTGGTGAAGAGTTGTGATCCCTTGGAGGAGGAGAGGTGTTCTGGTTTTGGGTGTTTTCATCCTTTTTGCACTGGTTTCTTCCCATCTTTATGGATTTATCTACCTGTGGTCTTTGTAGTCGGTGATTTTCGGATGGGTTCTCTGAGTGGACCTCCTTTTTGTTGATGATAAAGTTATTTCTTTTTGTTTTTTAGTTTTCTTTCTAACAGTTAGGCCCCTCTGCTGTAGGACTGCTGGAGGTCCACTCCACACCCTGCTTGCCTGGGGATCACCTGTGGTGGCTGCAGAACAGTAAGGGTTGCTGCCAATTTTTTCTTCTGTTATCTTCGTCCCAGAAGGATACCTGCCAGATAATCAGCCTGAGCTCTCCTTTATGAGGTGTCTCTTTGAATACATGGGGGTCAGGGAGCTTTTTGAGGAGACAGTCTGTCCCTTATCAGAGCTCAAATACTGAGCTGTGAGCTCCGTTGTTCCATTCAGAGTTGTTGGGCAGGTACGTTTAAGTCTGCTGCAGTGGAACTTATAACTGCCTTTTTTCCCAGTTGCTCTGTCCTGGGATGGTGGCACTTTATAAGTTCCTGACATGCTGCTGCCTTTTTTCAGAGATGCCCTGCCCTGCAAGGAGGTTGCCTAGTCACAGTCTGCCAGCAGAGGCGTTGCTGAGCTGCTGTGGGCTCTGCCCAGCTGCTTTGTGAACTTCCTTGCAGTTTTTTTAATAGAGGTATAGTTAGAACTGCCTTGGTAATGGTGCACTGCCTCGGTAATGGCAGACTGCCTTGGTAATGGCGCACTGCCTTGATAATGGCAGACTGCCTCCGTAATGGCAGATGCCCTTCCCTCCACAAAGCTGGACTATCCCGGGTCCAGCTGCGTTTGCTGTGAAACTCTCAATCCAGAGCGTTTCAGATTGCTGGTCTTTGTGGGCGAGGGACCCTCCTAGCCAGATCACCTGGTTCCCTATTTCAGACTCCTTTTTTCCACTTGAATGGGTGGCTCTGCCTCCCAGGCATTCCAGGCGCCAGTTGAAACAGCCACCCGGGTTTGTGTGAGTTTTTGTGTGGAGACCCACTGCACTGGCTGAACTAGCCATGGTGGAAACTCATGGTGCTTTTCTGCCCGGGAATCTGGTCTGTGGGCAGTAAAAACACTTTTGGAAATGCAGTGGTCACTGACCCTCTGTGTTGTTCTTGCTAGGAACTGCAGTCCAGAGCTGCTCCTATTTGGCCATCTTGGATCCCTCAGCACTCTTCAGAGTTAATGATTTTGGCTACAAAAGAGTGATGTCTGGGGTGGGGGGTTGGGACCTGGGTACAGGTTTAGAACAGTTTCGGTTTGTACTCTATTATTAATTGGTTTGAAGTAACTTCTTGGTTTGGGTTAGACACATATTTGATTTGTCTGATGTGTTCTGAAGCCCAAGTAGGTGTGGCTTGATTATTTGTTAATAATTATTACTACAGAATTGGAAAACCCTTTCTAAGTTGAACTTCATGCTTTACAAATCACAAGTACCTGGCAGCCTTTAGTGTTGAAAGGAGGCAGTACTGACTTAAGAACCAAGCCATTCTCAACTCACTTTGTTTGTAGTAGGAGTCTGACTAGAGGGAGGAAGAGAGGAAAGGGGAAAAAATAGATCATTATTATTTGCAGTGAATGAGAGTACTTACTTTGCAGTTAAAGGCTTGGTTTGGATTCCTGAATTGCTACTTTTTAGCTATATGACCTTGAGCAAACTGTTTAAAAATTTTTAATCTACTTTTCCTCATCTGCCAAATGTGGTTAATAACACCCACGTCATCAGAAACTTGTTGGGTTTAAGTCAAACAACATGTATAAAGGGCCCATACATGTGTACAGTATCTCTTGATAAATAGTACTGCAAATTATTCCTACTTTTGTTTCTCTCCTTAAATAAATCTAACCTCCAAATTTAGAACTTTCTGTTGCTTAAGTTAAGGCTAAGTTGGTAGTCAATAATTTGGATCACAATGTTTTCATTAGAAATGAGCATCTAGAGCTGGGCGCAGTGGCTGATGCCTGTAATCCCAACACTTTGGGAGGCCAGGGCAGGTGGGTCACTTGAGGTCGGGAGTTCAAGATCAGTCTGGCCAACATGGTGAAAATGCATCTCTCCTAAAAATATAAAAATTAGCTGGGTGCGGTGGTGGGCACCTGTAATCTCAGCTACTAGGGATGCTGAGGCAGGAGAATCTCTTGAACCCTGGAGACAGAGGTTGCAGTGAGCCGAGATCGTGCCACTGCACTCCAGCCTGCATGACAGAGGGAAGCTGTGTGAAAGAAAGAGCAAAAGAATGAAACAAAGGAAAGAAGGAAGGAAGGAAATGAGTATCTCAGTTTAGCACTTTATTGCTTCACTCATGCTGAAGGACAGACAGAGAGAAGAGAAGGAAGGAAGGAAGGAAGGAAGGAAGGAAGGAAGGAAGGAAGGAAGGAAGGAAATAAATGAGTATCTCAGTTTAGCATTTTACTGCTGCACTCAAGTTGTAGACATTTTAGGAACACACATGTTGACGTATGGTTTGTGTTCTTGATTGTAATGGGACATGAGATCATGGCTTGATAAATGAAATCAAAACTTCCTTAGATGTGTTCTGTGAAACTCAAGCATTTTCAGTAACTTTTTAAGGGCACATGTCTCCAAAGTTGCCTTTATTGAATTCTACAATTTATAAATTTGTAGAGATTTAAGTCTGTAGTGCTCTAGTGATTTTTGTCTCTAGACAAGAATCTCTATATTTGGTTTCTAATCCTAGAGACAAATCAAATGACTTAGTGGCTACAGTGATGGACTTCAGAGTCAGCTTAGGCCTGGTCTAACCAGAGAATGCAGAACTGTTGTTCTAGTCCCTGACACCCTCTTACTTGCTGTATTAGTCTGTCTTACTGTAGACAAGCGACAACCTCTCTGAGTTTAGTTTTCTAATCAGTAGAAGGGGGATAATGGTAGTTCTTTTCTTACAATGAAATGATAGAGCTTAGATGAGATAATAACTATAAAGCATTCACCAAGTTCTTAGAGCATAGCAGGTACCTAACAGATAATCCCATTTCTCTTTCTACATCCCCTCTTCCCTCCCTCTCCTTCTTGTCCTTATTTTCTCCTTTTTTCTCCACTGAGTTTTTTAAAAGGCAGAAACTAGTCTGGGTGCAGTGGCTCACACCTGTAATACCAGCACTTTGGAAGACCAAGGCAGGGTGAATCACGAGGTCAGGAGTTTAAGACCAGCCTGGCCAAGATGGGGAAACCCCGTCTCTACTGAAAATACAAAATTAGCCAGGAGTGGTGGCAGGTGCCTGAAATCGTAGCTACATGGGAGGCTGAGGCAGGAAATTATTGGCTTGAAAACCCAGGAGGTGGAGGTTGCAGTGAGCCGAGATTATGCCACTGCACTCCAGCCTGGGTGACAGAGCAAGACACCATGTCAAAAAAAAAAAAAAAAGGAGAAAACTAGACAGGTCAGCCTTTATTTCTGATGATTTGGCTTTGATTGCTGTGACTTGAGGACATGGACTATAGTTGTAGATGTTGCCCTGAGTGCATATGAACAATGACTTTTTTTCCTTGATGTTTCTCTACAGGAAGGATCAGAATGTTCTCTCTCCAGTCAACTGCTGGAATCTCCTCTTAAACCAGGTGAAGCGGGAAAGCAGGGACCATACCACCCTGAGTGACATCTACCTGAATAATATTATTCCTCGATTTGTCCAAGTCAGCGAGGACTCAGGAAGACTCTTTAAAAAGGTAAAGAGATATTCCTAGTCACAGAGGTTCTTGGGTGGAGCAATGATACAATTTTTAAAATTCTATTAGGTATCATGTTAATTACCCAGGTGACAAAATTATCTGTACACCAAACCCCTGTGACATGCAGTTTACCTATGTGAGAAACTTGCAGATATACCCCTTGAACCTAAAATAAAATTTGTAAAGAAAAAATAAAAGAATATCTTACTGGCCCACTTCATTGGCTTTCCACTAGTCATTCCGTACCACATACTTGTGGAGAAAAAATATTTGAATTGGCATTCTTTTCTTTCTTTCTGAGCTGAATTAATAGTAGCCTTGGGAATGGAATCATTCGCAAGGTACAAACTCAGGACTGGCACCGTAATTCATAATCTGCATCTGTTAACAAAAGCTGTGTTTTGGGAAGTTTTCTTAAAGTGATTTGTGAAGCTGTTGAGCTTAAGGGGCCTACAGTGTCATTTTATGTTTTCCTATTCTAGTTCATGTAGCAAATTTATATACGTTTATGTTTTTGGTTTAGTTTTCTTTCCAAGGTCTCATCTTGGCCAAGGTAGACAAAAAAGTTTGATATGATATGTCTTTGTCTTTGAGCCTCTGAATGCTTTCCGAAACTCAATTGTTATCATACTTCCTTGGGTATAGGTTGAACAGTTTGACTAAGGAAAACTCAAAATAATCATGAAAATCTAAAGGAGCCAATTCACCTTACATGTCAGTGGTGGAACTAGCATTTTGGAAACCCAGGAAGCTGTTTTCTAAGCTGTCTCAGCTTGAGCTCACAGTGAAATCATTTATTCACGAGGTTTAGTTACAAACAGCAGTGAAGGCCCCAACCATTTTATGTGATATGCCATGTCTACCATTCAAGTGTTGACATTCCTGGAAGACTTTCCAGAAAGCAAATAATCTTCCTATAAGTTACTGGTAGAAAGAGATTATAGAGGACTATTTAGAATTCATCAATTTCTAGGTGACAAAATCCATTATTAACATTTGAAAATGTGAGAGAAAGGACTCTGATAAATAGGATTGTTATCTATATAGTCAAAGCTCTTGATCCTTTTCCAATTCTCAGTTAGGAAGTTTTTCAGATTTCACTAGATCTGGAATTAATACCCGATTTTTTTCTGTAATTAACAGCCTGATCAAATAACAGAGCTGGAATCTTCAATCTACCTAATTACATCTGTGAAGATGTTTTTCCTACATCTTAGAGACAGAATACTGAGAAAAATCACCTGGCAAAGAAAAGAAGGCAGAGAAAGATAACTCCTCCCAGAGCTCACTGGCTATTTTTAGTAGCCTGGCTGTGCTGTGGTTGGGGCCACACCGCATTTCAGGGTGAGGGTACTTCTCACCATCTCCTCCATGGTTTCCAGCATCAGCTTCAGCTTGCTTGTTATTAATTTGAATTATTCTGCAATACTTGGTGATGCGTGTGTGTGACTAAAATTAAAACCTATTTAGATGAAATTTTGACAGCTAGTCTTTATGACCTTGACAGCCACTTAGACTATCTCAAGAAGGAAAGGGCTTGACTGATCGCTTCCTTCTCTGTTTTCTTTGTTCATCTGAGAAAAAAACTTTTATAAGATCTGTTCACCTTGTTAGACTTCACCTAGTCTCTCAGCTCCCTTTTCTCCCAACCTTAGAAGGTTAGAGAAAAACCAAGCTGAGAGAATTTAGTAGCTTCTCCAGATCTCAGAGGTGCTTATATTGAAGGCAGCCAGATATCAAAGCCATGAGTGTTCCTGACTCTTCAAGTGCCATACGCATATTTTACCAAAGACCTAAGTGCATGGCATGTACACAAGGTGTGGGACATATGACCTCTAGAAAAAAAATTCATCTGTGAATGATGTTCCTCGCCATGGGCTCAGGGTTGACCTCCTTAAGCTGTGTATTACTATGCTAGATTGTGAGGAAAAACTTCTTATTTCTCACAGGACTGTTTATGTATTATGTCTTACTGAAGAAAAGTATACCTATCATAATTTAATAGCTATGTGCATTTTTACAAACTGAATTCACACCTGTGTAACTAGCACCCAGAGCAAGAAACAGAACATTTCTGTACCCTAGAAGCCCCCTCCTATTCCCTTCTAGTCATCTCCCCACCCTAAATCCCCAAGGATAATGACTTTCCTGACTTTTAACAGCAGAGATTAGCTTTGCTTGGTTTCAAACCTTATATAAATAGAATTGCACAGTATGTAGTCTTTTGTGTCTGGTTTCTTTCACTCAATATTCTGTTTGTGAGATTTATTCATACTGTTGTATATAGTTGCAGCATCATAGGACTTTCTCTTGATCTTTGTAACTTTGGATTGATTAAATTGTAGTTGATCAGAGACATGCATGGGGTTGTTGAATGGCAATGATTACTATCCCACGGGGTGAATAATCTCTTTTCTCCCTCCCTTGCGGGTTCCCATGTAGGCAGAGAACTCTAAGGTAGAAGCTGGTTGGCACATCATAAAAATAGATTCAGCCAAGCATAGCGGCTCATGCCTGTAATCCCAACAACTCAGGAGGTCAAGGTGGGAAAATGGCTTGAAACCAGAAGTTCAAGAACAACCTGGGCAACATAACAAGACGTTGCCTCTAAAAAAATTTTAAAAGTTAGCTGGGCATGGTGGCCTGTGCTGGTAGCCACAGCTACTTGGAAGGCTGAGGTGGTAGTATTGCATCAGTCCAGGAGTTTGAGGATGCAGTGAGCTGTGATCATGCCACTGCACTCCAGCCTGGGCAACAGAGTGAGACCCTGACACACACACACACACACACACACACACACACACACAAGATTCCTTCTGTTTTGGCTGGATAAAGAGCCTCTCTGCTTTCTAGTAATAGGCAAAGAAACATTCTTCACATCCCACCCCTGTTTTGTTTAGAGTGTGTTGAACATGAAGAATTCGAATCCTACTGGTTAAGATATAGTATCAGATAAGAGACCTAAGGAATGTCCTTGGCCATTCTGTAGTTTCATGAATCTTTCCTGGGACTCGCTTTGTGCGGTCAGAGGAAAGGTCTTTTCCAAGTGATCCTTTCTTTTGGACCTAGTTCTGCTGTTAATGACTTGGACAATGACTTCATTCTATGCCTCAGTTCCTTAAACTTTAAAAAAAAGAGTGTGGTCTATACGCTCTCCATGGTGCCTTCCAAATCAGGATACCACAGTTCTGTGATGAGAAGGGGATCCTACACTGGGGATTTCCTTCTGGTTGTGAGGTTACCCTTGTTAAATTGTGATAGGTAAACTGTAATCCCAGAGATAAGGACAAACAAAAGTGGATATGGGTGTGGTAGCTTAAGCAAATGAAGACCGCATGTCTCGAGGAATGAAGCGTTCTTTCAGATGCTGATATCTACACTGTCAGCAAACAAGAAATACCAAATTGGGATTCAAATACATAAAATGGATACATTTTACTAGTAAATTTGGCTCCTGTGGCGAAAGAAACCATTTCTCTGGGGACATAGGGTTAGAAAAGGCACCTTAATTTTTGGTATGGCTGTAGACTCCTGTGCTTTATGTGATTTTGAGTCTGTTTGTCTCTAGCAAAAGTCAACATTTTTAAAAATCTTTTTTTAATCTATAAAACTTAAGTAATTCACTGCAAAAGTTATGATAATAGAAGTCATTATATTTTGAACCCCTATGTGCCAGGTATTGTGTTAAGCACTTTCTTTATATGTGTTTTCTCCATTAATCCTTACAATAATTTTATAAGGTAGTTACTATTGTTATCATCATTATTTTATGAAGGAAGAAACTATGGCTTAGAGAGATTAAGCAGGCCAGGCACAGTGGCTCAAGCCTGTAATCCCAGCTCTTTGGGAGGTTGAGGCAGGAGTATCACTTGAAGCCAGGAGTTCAGACCAGCCTGGGCAGCATAGCAAGACTCCATCTCTACCCTCTCCATCCCAAAAAAAATTAGCCAGGCATGATGGTACACACCTGTAGGCCTACCTACCCAGGAGGCTGAGGCAGGAAGGATTGCTTGAGCCCAGGAGTTTGAAGCTACAGTGATCTATAATCATGCCACTGTACTTTAGCCTAAGTAACAGACCAAGACCCTGTCTCTTAAAAAAAAAAGAGAGGGCTAGGCATGGTGGCTCACACCTGTAATCCCAGCACTTTGGGAGGCCGAGCTGGGCAGATCACCTGAGATCAGGAGTTCAAGACCAGCCTGGCCAACATGGTGAAATCCCTTCTCTACAAAAATACAAACATTAGCCGTGCAAGAGGGCGGGTGCCTGTAATTCCAGCTACCTGAGAGGCGGTGGTGGGAGAATCGCTTAAACCAGTGAGGCGGAGGTTGCAGTGAGCAGAGATTACGACGTTGCATTCCAGCCTGGGTGACAGAGTGAATCTTTGTCTCAAAAGTGAGAGAGAAGAGAGAGAGAGAGAGAGAGAGAGATTAAGAAAAATTAACTCCAGTCACCTGGCTGTAGAAGCCAATGTTTTCATCTACACACTGTATTAGGATTCTCTGAGTATGTTGTATAGAGATCAGAAGATCCTGGACTTTCTCTTTTCCATTGAATTCAGGTATTTCACTTAGTTATAGAATTAGCCTAATTTTTTTTTTTTTTTTTGCATATACTGAATCTCTTGTAAGTAATGGTATTAAAGAATAAAGATAATGTCATTAACAGATAAACCATGTCTAATATAGTTCATTAGGTAATGATTAGCCTATTTTTTTTTTTTTTTTTGCACATAAACCTTCAAAGAGTGTGGAGATGTTGAACATCAACATTGGATTGTTTTTCCTGCCTGGGTTCGGGGCAAGCAGCTGGAAGTTGGGAATGAAATAGGGCAGCATGTTTACACTCCCCAGGGGCAGAATATCTCTGCCCTCTGTAGAGGGAAACAAGGACTCATTAAATGTGAGAACTAGCCAAAAATCTGGCTCACAGCTAATTTAGCTAATTTGGGGATGTCAGGGTGGCTGTACAATTGGCCCCTCTATGCTATCGAATCC